TATAGAACTAGCAGTGATAGTTATATTTAATAATTAACAGGTGCAAGAATAGCAGTGGCTCTTAAGAAACAAAGCTCATGTTAATCCTTTCAAAGCTGACTTTAACAGCATTAGTGGTGGCTTTACTAATGTTTCCTCCAACAGTCCTGCTTCATCTGGTCAGTGGTTTGGTCTCTAGCACTTATGAGTCAGCAACAATAACGAATAATTTATAGAATGAAAATACAACTTTAGGGATGAGTTTTCTGGGTGAGTTCAGAGTTCCCATAGCTTTGATGGTGGTTTGCTGACCACTGCCAGGGGGAAACTGAACTTGGTTTTATAATGGGGAACACGTACATTGTCCTTTCAGACCAGACCGAGCCAGCTGCCCTTGCCTGATCCCCCGCATGCCTTGGAAAGGTCAGGATGGGCACACTGGTGCACAGCCTCTGGCTCAGGACCCCAGGAGTGTCCTGGCAGACACCCACAGCTCATGTTAGATGGTGCAATTGTGTGCAGCATCGAAAGCTTCTAAAGAAAGCATAAGAGCCAGAATTGATTAACTGTATAATAACACATTTTATGTCCTCCAAACACCCATCAATTAGAACCGAACAGAGTCACCACTGGGACGGATCCCAGGCTGTCATTATGGGGAACCTTCATACTCTGACTGTCTCGCAGCTCTTCCCCGTTCCTCATCCCATTCCCGGGAAGCTGAACGGGCTTCCTAGCTCAGCTTCAGGAACAGCACAGTGTCAGAGCAGCAAACGCCCTGGCACAACCCTCCCACAAGTGGTAGGCAAAAGTGAAGTGCAACGTTGGAGCAGCCTCCAGGCAGCAGCTCCACGCAGTGCAGCTTCTTCCACAACAGTGCTGGCTCTGGGCCATAGCCACCCTCTCAGCTCCGTGCCTAGGGGAGGGCTTGGGCCATGGGGTTGAAAGAACAAGCCCCCCCAAAACAAAATAAAGAAGTTTTGGTTTAAATAACAACATGACCATCAATCCTAAGGCTTTCAGTCATAACCTCCTTGAGGAAACGTCGCCAATGTTATGTTTCAGAGAGGAATGATTAGTCAACACTGGGGCGTCTTACTCCAGCAATTACCAGGATGATAATAACCCCGGCACATCACCGCAGTCAGAGAACCATCATTGTTAACACCTCCTGAAATGCCTGTTCTGAGCAAGCCTGACTTTCCCAGGCTGTTGCTCCAGGGATCTCCATAATGATTCACCATAATCTAGAGATCATTTTGACACACTGGCAACAAACTGGTCAGCAAAGAGAAAAACATGAGCAGATTAAGCACAGAAACACAAATATTCTTTATGGTGAGGAGTGATGAGTAATTCCAGGGCACAGAGCTCCATCCTGACCTTTTGTGATGAAGTGCAGCCATGAACTTTGTCACCCTCCTGGCTCCTCCGTGTTAATTGCACCATGCCTTTTTCTCCATCCACAAATAGGTTTTGGTCTGCATATATGTGACATGTTGTGGTTAGCCAGGATTTTGGACGGTGTTCATCTCCCGATGTGCATGTTTGAAATAATATTTAAGTTAGGTCTCTCTAGCTTTCTTATTTGGCGTACATCTATTGCTTATGCCACTCGAGAGCCTGGCAATTGACTTTTGTAGGCTGGCACAGAATTGTTACAGGGAGGGAAGAGTAAATTGCATCATGGGAGGATCTACCTCTTATGCATTAACTTTGCAAAATAATATCTTTTGGTTCATTAGCATGTCTTACTGACTCAAGTTTTGGAAACTAAAGAGTATTGCCTTGAAGTTTTGCTGGGCTGATTCATGTGCAAAGATTAAATCTAGATGAGGGATGCGGCACTGTGAGCACTGTGCTTGCCCAAATGTGTGGTGAAACCTTCCTAACTGCTTTGAAAATGTTGCTTGCTCAGAATGGAACAGTTGTTGATACTTGTCAATTTTTTTAATACATTCACAGCTGTGGCCTTTGTATTGCATTTTGAGCATAGCTCTTCTAAAGAATAACTACAGGCACAGGTAACCAAGTGCATTGCTCAGGGCCAGGTAACCCTGAGGAGGAGTGACGGGAAGGTGAAGGCTTCTGCACTCACCCCGTGGGGCTTTTGTGGGGCCCCATGCAGATCCACAGGGCTCAGACTTTCCAAAGCTTTCATATTTAATAAGCTGTTTGGAAAGTTTGCCACTTACTGGGCGTCCCTACCTCAACTGTAAATATGAACCAATTCTCCTCCCAAAGATGTTTTTTTCTTTCCTTGTCTAGTTTTTCCTTGCTGTCAGGCCAAAACCGTCTATTGTTTCATTTATATCAGGGCAGCCAAAAACTTAGCTGCAGTGTTTAGGAAATACTATAATTTATGTTAGACATTTCAAAAGATAGCAGCAGCTGAGCCTAATCCGAGATTCGCCGTGGAAGCAAGTCATTTAGCTTTAGGGCAGCAATTATCTTTTCCATAAAATTGACATAATAACTACCTACTTTCCATAAAATACTAGCGATGGCAAAAAGCAACGAAGAGCAAAACAGCCGGGAAAGTGACAGGCAGCAGGCTTGGAGCTGTTTCACAGTGTTAAAGAGATTAAGGGACTGGTGCAGGTTTATCGCTGGGCTGATCTTCAGGAACAGGCATTGATGAAGACTTTGCAGAGCCCGTGGCATACCAGCAGCTCTCCTGGGCATGCGGTTGACAGCAAGGGCTCCAGACACCAACCCAAGGCCACGTTCATGGCTGGTTCATCATGACCCTGGCCGGGAGCATGTACCGAGGCTTGCCTGAAGCACACACCTAGACTTGCAGGTAAGTTTTGCAGTCCCTGCTGAGTTGCCCTCTCATCAGGGTCTGAGTCACCCATGGTTGAGTCCACAGGAGGGCAGCAGCCCCAGCACGGAGCTGATCGACCAGACCTGCATCCTTGCTGGGTCCTGCAGCCTCACCATCCTCGCCCAGACCCTGCAGGAGAGACCAGCCTGCCCCAGAGCACATACCCCCAGGCTGGGAAGGGAGCTGGGAATAAAGGGGAACCTCCAAATCCTCTGATGGAGACATTTATGAATTGCCCCATCGGACCTTCCCAGCCATGGGAAGATGGGTTCCTGGCGGCTACCAAGTGTCTTTGCTTTGGTGGTTTATCTAGAGCTAGTTTATTGCTCAGGTTTTCCTGTTTTCCTGTGTTTACCTCTCCCTTCAAATATCCAACTAGGATTAGTTGTGTGCCTGGTGGGGAGCTGGGGGGGACAACATTGCTAATTGTGAACGCACAGCATAAAGTTTTTCTAGCCTGGTAGCTTGGGGCTTGACCGGGTGGTTTCCCTAGTAAAAACACTTAGGCAGCTGGCTTTCTAGCGCTTTGAACTACCAAACTCTACTCAATAGAGGGATAAAAACTGCTTTGCTTTTTTTTAAAAATGTTAAAAACGCCATCTTGTTTTAAAATCTGGTCACCTGGAGAGTGAACTTGCACTTCTGGAACTATCGGGCTGAGGGATTCTTCGTGAGCCCCTCTCTTAAACTCGAGCTGAATGGAAACAGCCCTATGTTTTAACCATTGACTGGAAAGGTATCATCATAAAACAAAAGAAAAGCAACTTTACAGTGAAAATCATCAGTTTACTAGAAAAAAAATATCCTGAGAAGATATGGAGATCAACGTGTGTGAAATCATGACCTTTTTTTTTCCAAATCAGTTATTACAGAGTCTTGGGGAATGTAACCCAAGTAATATACTATTAACATTATATTAACATACCACTTTACACGTGTAATACATCAGTGCGTGGTTGTGAAGCACCCTGACTCCCTTTGTTCTGCGGAAGTCTTGGGATATTTCTGGGTGGGTATAATTGCAAGAATGACATGGTATTTCCTAGGCACCAGAAGACTGTGACTTAAAGCAAACATATGTACGTAGCCATTAAGGAAGAACGAAATTAACATAATCTTTAGTACAAAAACAGCACCTGAAATTGCTTGGCATGAGCAGGACACACCTGATGTCCTAAACGGCGTCTGCCTAGAGGGATCCAGTGCTGGCACCAGCCGGGCAGACGTAGGTACCTGGGGCTTTGGCCAGGACATCCAGAAGCAAGTAAGAAACTGGTGGTCCAGGTCCACACGTGACTGTTAACACTTACACGTGAAAAAGAGTTCTTTGCAAAAGCAGGCCGGAAAATTTTTGATGCGGAAATATGAAGAATATCTTGAATCTGGCTCAGTTCGATTTGTTTATAGAAAAGAAGGCTTCCAAATAGGACTGGTTATGAGCTAGAACAGGACCCTCGAAAATATACATTTTGCTGTAATCTAGAGGTGTATACCTAGAAAATGCAGAACCACATTTCTCCACGAATGGGACTTCTGCTCACTGTTTTCTAGACTGCAACCTGGATTATATGACTGAGATCCCGTTTTCACACGGGGGCCTGCAGAGCAGAACCAAATCGTTAATTTTACCTGGGCATCCAGTTTTGAGTGGTCTAGGAAGAGTGTCCAGGCCATTCTCTGTTCCTCTATATAAGGCTGAGTGTCACCAAGAGAGCATTGCAAACAAGTAGCAGAGGAAAAAGGAGATTCAGAAGGCCAATGGTTTGATGCAGCAGCATTTTAATGTAAATGCGAAGTGGAGTAAACATTTGCAGAAAGAATAATGCAGACGAGAAAGAGCATATTTCTAGAGACAAGAAAAGCTAAAATGAATTACCCATTCCAGCGTGACGCATTTCATCGAGACATTCACTTTCCTCACTCTTGCTGAGCCTGACATTCAAATCCCTATGTCTGCTTTGTTTTAAAACCACGGTCAATGTCAAACTGGGTAGAGAAAGCTAAAAGCGCAGAAGTAAGATGCAAAGCCACAAGAATAAAGAAAGCATTAATCTAAGCTAAAGCACTATTAAATGTAGGGTCCTGGTTTTCAGGGGTGCTTCCCTCTCCAGTAGCCATGCCTGTAAATCACATGCCATATCCTTTCACTTCTTTGCTTGTTCTTTTCCCGTGACTATTCTTTTTTTTAAGCTGATTAGATCTTCTTACAGAAGCCCCTCTGGCAAGGATGCTTCCAGCGGGTGGAATAGGTGTAGGAGCACTCCGGCACGCACTGGGGAGCGCACTGGGGAGTGCATGGAGGAGGACATGGAGGAGGACACGGAGGAGGACAAGGAGGAGGACATGGAGGAGCGCACTGGGGCTCGCACTTCGTGGCAAACTGCGTGACGCAGGGCTCCACGCACTCAGCGCCCTTCTGCCCTGAAGCGATTGCCACGCCGGACTCTAACGTGCCAGCCAGCTCGGCTGACTCCGTGGAGCCCACGATAGTTTCCTGCGGGTAGGTGGTGAGGATGGGTCCCGGGAAGGTCACGACCACGGGAGGTGGGAATATAATCACGCGGGAGTCTGGGCAGGCGATGACGCATGGCTCGTTGCAGGCAGCGGCGCGGGGCTCGGGGCATTTCGTGTCGCACGGGACAGAGCATGGCTGGGCACACACAGTTTTCTCGCAGGACATCTTTTAGCTGTGTTGTAGATCTGCAAGGCATGGGAAGGAGCAAATATAAAACCAAAGGAGCCGGTAGGACAGGATCAACAGTTGAGCTAAGCTAAGGTGAGCCCTGAAGAGACACGAGGTGGTAGATAGGTAGATACCCATCCTGTTCTGCTTTGCTTTGCTCTTCTCCTTTGCGGCCTTTCAGAGCCCAATTCATTCCTGCAGACACCAACCTCTTTGGGGCTGCTCCTTAAATAACACCTACTTTCTTCCACGTAATTTGGGCTCCAGGTGGAGTTCAGTAAAATTAGGGTGATACAGCACCAAGCATTGCAGAAATGGAAAACACACGAGGAGTTTTACGGTACTGAATTTATGTATTCTCTGGGCTAAGCAGACAAAAGGCAGAAAGAGGTATATAAACCCTATGTTGTACGTGAGGGAATTGATCCCATAAGGATCCAAAGTACTACATTTTTAGTGCAGCTAGTTTGTAACAGGTGGCTTTAATACTGCATATTTAGTATCAAGCTCACTTGGAAAAATTAAACAAATAAAAGCCTTTTGCAAGATCACAAGGAAAAAGCTGAAGCACAGCAAAAACCTGAAAGCACGTCTCCTGAATTTAAATTTCAGAGGGAGTAAAACTGCTCACAAACCTGGACTGACTTCTACACCTCCTTTATTTCTTTTGAAATAAATTGAAGGGTGGGGAGGTAATTTGGCAAGTGTCATAAAACTACATTTCAGGATGTCATTTCAAACTCATCCAAGTTCCAAATCAAAGCACCAAATGAAGGAGCTAGTTAATCTGTTGTTTCAGATTAAATGGAATATTTGCTTTCAGCTTATTTTTTGCCTAACTGAGCTGCATATTACAAAAGCCTGGGTGGGGTTCAGTTTGACTCAAGCAACTTTTCTTGGATTTTTTTTCCTTTTGTTGTTTTAGACACAATGTCAAAATACCCATTATTCACCTAAACTTTTCCTGACCTTAAACCTTAATCCAGACACCATCTCCAGGTTCCCACCCTTACATTCTACTACATATATAAATTCTACACTCTTGACTTGACCTGTGAATCCCACAGCAGAAAGCAAGCCAGAGAAAATGTATAGCTGAAAAACACACCCGAACACATAACGTACAGCACAAAACATTTATAGTGGATAATATATTCTTACACAGCCGGTTGAATGTTTTGCATAAGACCACTGCTTTGCATAAACAGAACAAAAACACGCAAAGCAACTTCCCAAGGAATGTACAACTAAAGTAGACAATTTCTGGGGTCCCGTTTCTCTGCGTAGCTGTACTGACAGACGATTTAGCAAAGCCCTGGCCATTCCGGCAGACAGCGAATGCCTGAGAGGGTCCCAGGTGGGCCAATTCCAAAATCAGACCAGGAACCCTGTAAGGCCACATCCACAGAGACGCTGTGTCCTAGTAGGTGGATCCAGTCCAAAAGGTGACTGCAGCGATCTCACCATCACAGTATTTATACAGCTTATCTCAATATTTACACGATACCTCTGTCAAAAATTAGATAAAAATTGGAAGCCATAAGGTCAGAACAACACTGCCAGACACATACTGCTGGCTGAGATATTTTAAGGCTATCTAAAAGCTATATGCATTAAATTTCCATAAAGTAATGGAATTAGGTGTCTTTAACATTATCTAGATTTCAGATGTATTTTTAAAGTTCAGTCCGTCAGTGCCATTGGATGAATAATTAGCAAACGAGTCTTTCATGAAAATAAAATCCTGAATATTGCCTAGAAACGCAGAACATTAATCCAAAAATTCAGCCCTGAAGTAAATGCAAAGATTTCAAAAATGATACTTCTTTGCTTTTCTAGGAAGAAGAAGTTATATCAGAATCCAACTTACTCAGTTCACCGAGGAGAAGTCAACAGAACCTGCTGGAAGGTTTCTGAATCATGAATGGTTTTATATACCTTCCTGGACCACCAGGCTGATGCAAGAAAATAACGTCATATTTGTGCATTAGGTTCCATTACTCCCCAAACAAAATTTGACACGTAATTACAGTAATTGTTTTGCTTACTGTTTGTGTTGATTACCCTATTCTCACCAGCACGTGACCTGCGCAGTCCCATCCCCGGATTCCTTTCATTTCACGATTTTCAGCATCAAACCCGTTCCTGCAGCCCTGCGGCGGGACGGCCGCCCGCAGGACGGCTCTCCGGCGCGTGTGGGAGCCCTGACAGAGCTGCAGCTGGGCAGAGGCTTCCCAGGACGCAGCCTTGCCATTCCTTAGAAAACAGGAGTTTGTTTTCCTTGCTTAACATCATGACCTCCAAGAATGCATAAGAGCCTAACCTAGTATTAGTAGTAAGTGTGCTTGCTAGTTTAAAGCTTGTTAGGACGTGTTTACAGAAACTGTAGTCACTGCATGACTGCAGTGTCAGGATTGCCTTGGAGAGACACTCCTAGCAGAGCACAGCATCGCCTCTGGTGGCCTGGCTCCTCGTTTGATGTTCAAGTCTCTTCCAAGGCAAGAATATAACACAGTGCAAGGGTTGACGTGGCAGCCAGAGCCCCAGTTGAGCATGAAAGGTCTCCTCCTCTGCCACACAACTCCTGGCCAAGCCTAGCAAGAAACACGAGGGGAGAAAGCTCATTTTGGTTGACGTGAGGTGGTGAGAGGGATCTTGGAATTGCTCAGTCTGGTTTGGAATAAATCACCCTCCCCTCTGTCCCTTTCACAGCGGTTATGGTCACGGCTGCATCCGAAAAATGTTTATGAACGTGGAGAAGAGCGCTGCGGGAAACTCAAGGTAAGTGAGCAATGCTGTGGCAAAGCTGGTCATTCCCCATTTAACAAACAGCTGGGCCAGAGAAAAGAGGAGCAACAGATTTATTTAGGATTGCTCAGGACGGCTTTGGCGACACAAAGGATTGAGTTCTCAGTACTGGTTTGTGCCCAACTTGACTTGCTGTGATGAAGCAGCAATTCCTGCCATGTTTGAAGCACAGACCCAGCCCCCTCAGGTGATATAATACTATTTAAATCAGCAAATAATCCCTGATTTGGAAAGGTGAATATTTGGCCAACTTGTTTTAAATAGTATTATTATGCTAACAAATGCAGAGCTGGCTTTTAATCAAAAATAAACAAAGGGATCCAAATTCCCAGGGGGTTTATCATTGCCTGATTCAGAGAATCACATGGGTGGCCCTGACATATATATTTCAAAGTGACGCTATGATTCAATACTGTGGAGTTTAATACTGGCAGCCTGTTATTAACATCATAACACCACAACACTTTGCATGTATAAAACATTAGTGGGTGTTTGCAAAACTATCTGAAAGCATTTCCTCAGAACAATTCCAATAAGTGTTCTTGCCTAGAGGATCCTCCAAAATCACCCTGCTTCCAAGGGGTAATTGATAGCGTAGAAGTTGCAACAACAATAAGCAAAAATGTTGAGTACGTATGGAAATGAGGGAGGGGAAAATGAACCCAGAAACTGATCTGTGTGTGCATGTAGACTTTGTTTGGGCTGGCACGTCCCAAGATCATGGTGACAACCAGAACTCTCACCCAGCCAGAGCTACACACCTGACTTGTACTGGTCTGGAGCTATGCAGGGGAGATGAGACATGCCGCTGCGAGAGGATTTGAATAGTGTCTGACAGGTGCTGGTTTTTATAGGCACAGCCCAACACATCGACCTCTGGCAGCTTTGGAAAAGCGTGGAGTGGCTGGCGTTCACCTCCAGCTCCTTCCAGTGGTGCCAAACCTGCCGGGCAATTTTTGCCACGACTCGTCCTGTACTCTTGCTAACGCTCGGCTGGCGTGGCAGCATCCTCCCCTTAGCTTTCGCCCTGTGTTTGGCTCTCTAAGAGGCATTTCCAGCATCAGGTGTTCATCCTTTGCTCCGTGTCTGACTCACAAAACCCATGGCAGGAGCAGGGCTGGAGGATGAGCTGCTCTCACGCTCCTGTCATGAGCTCGCTTACCCAAAACAGCTCCAGAGGGAGCTTTTGAGTGAGCCCAGCTTTCACACACATATATGCATTTATTCTCCTGCATATATTTATTTATTTACATGTAAGAAATCAGCGATAAGGAAGTAATCGTACTGTTGGTAAAGTACTTCAAACTGCTGAAGTAACAAATGCTGCTGTGAACAGGAGAATTAAATGAGTATGAATTGCCTGAGAAGGTGAACATTCTTCAAAAATGGTGCCGAGCAATGCCAAGGGCTTAAAAAAAATAACTGTTTAGCAATAAAACAGAATTACAGGAAATCATTGTGGAAGAGAAATGGTGGGGTTGCCCAACTGATACTCTCCCCTAAATTATTGCTGGAAGAGATTTCCCTAAGCTGTTCTTAAAAGTGTTTCAGTATTGAGATTCCGTCGTCTCACTTGCAAATCTGTCAGCACCTGGCTGCTCCTGCAATCGCAAAGTGGGGCGGCCTTTTTCCCTCAAACTAATCTGTCTGCTTTGTTGCAGTATGAGGTGATGACTTCATCTCCTGTTTTCCCACTGAATAAAGGGGATTTTATTGCCTTCCTCCTTGAAGTAGTGCTTTATTATTTTATTTTCCTTCTTATGACACTCTCTAAAATAAAGCATAGTTTCTGTGAAATAGGACCAAGAAGACACTTAAACAAACACAAGTAACTGCAAGGAGAGGGGAGGAGACTTCTCTAATTAGGAAACGCTGTAATTAGAGAAGGAATAATGTGCAAGCATTTAATTTTAACTATAATTAACTGTTGGAATAATTTGCCAGAGATGAGTGATTCCATACCGACTTTAAATCAAAAGTGTGTGGGTGTTCAGTCAAAAGGTGTGTGATAGTTTACAGAGAAATTATGGAACAGAGAGAAAGTACTGGGTAATATTTTCTGGTTCACGTTGTCCAGAAGATCCTTCCTGGCCAAAAAATCTGGAGGCATGAGAATACAAAATATCTGTTAGGACTTAAGGTACGATGTGGCACCAGTACCCAGTCTCAGAACCTGCCATGTTTTCATT